ACATAACGCGCAGTGGAAAACATGCGGCTCGGGGGACCCCCCCGCAGTCCCCGCTCGGGGCCGAGCCCCGAGGGGCCCCGGAGCAGTCCAGGCCACGTGCAATTTGGCAAGAGCCCCCAGAGCCGACCCAGGCACGCAAGACCCCCTTCTCCGGGGCCTGCCGCGCCTTCGGGGGTTCGGGGCTCCACTCGGCCGAGGCGCCGTGACTCTCCGCGGCGCCGTGACTCTCCGAGGCGCGCCTGGCCGGCAGCCCCGTCCCGCGGCGGGAGCCGCCTCTGCTTGGGCCCGCGGCCGCCCTCCCCCCCAAGCTCGCGGCCCCGCCCCCAGCCGACCGGCTACCGGTCGGGCCCGGAGAAGCCGCGCCCCCCTGGGGACGTCCCGGGATCCCCGCCCGGAGCGACGAGAGGGGCGGGGGCGGGGGGCGGGGCCGCGCACGGGCGGGCCGAAGCGCACAGGGAGGTGCTTCCGGGACAGAGGGCGGGTAAGATGGCGGCGCCCATGGAGCTGTTCTGCTGGTCAGGGGGCTGGGGGCTGCCGTCAGTGGACCTGGACAGCCTGGCCGTGCTGGTGAGGGGTGGCGCCGGAGCCCTCTGCTGAGCCCTGGAGAACTGGGGAGGGGGGCCGAGCTAGCCGAGCATCCTTACTTTGCCAGGGCTCCTCAGCACGGGCGCAGCGGGGGGAAACTGAGGCAACTAAAGAGCGTGCGTGGTCGATGCGGGCTCAGTGCCTGATGCCCTAGTTTCTTAGACTTAGTGCATCAATGGAAAGAGGCCTGGCCAGGGGTTTAGGAGATGAGGTCTAGTCCTTGCTCATTCGTTACTGGCTGTGTGACCTTGGGGCACTCCCTTCTCCTCTCTGGGCGCTGTCTCCCCATCCGGAGGTGTACTAGGCTGGACTGTCTCAGGGATCTCCTTCGGCTTGGCACTCATGTCTTTCTCTCAGCTCCCTTTTCCTCCTCCTCCTCATTAAGCAGCATTCACTGAGCCTGTTGTTTGTTGGATTAAATGGCCCACAGCCAGGCTCTGTAGAAAGAGCTTTAGAGTCAAACTTAGTTCACTTCATTCATTCACTCCTTGACTTAAAAAGCGTGTATTAGGCTTTTTCCAAATACCAAATATTGCCATGAAAAGATGAACTCCCCATGAGCTGTTTGCAGAAAGGCAGTCATGTAAGGAAATAAATGTAATACAACATTCAGCTGTAAAACATAAATAGAAACAACCTACAGAGACTGCCAGAGAAGGGCATGGTCAGTGCTTCCAAAAAGAGGGATACTGGTTAAAACTTTGAGGGTAGATGTTTACCAAGTAGATGACAGGAGATAAGACAGAGACCACTGCACTCCAGTCTGGGCGACAGAGTGAGACTCCAACTCAAAAAAAAAAAAAAAGACAGAGGGAAGGATTTTCCTGAGTGATTTGTAATTATGGACTGTCCATGATCTGTGTTGTCCATTTATAAAATAGGAATGGTAATGTCTGCCCTTTTTTCTGTACTAAGCATAGCGCATGGCATACAGGTATTCAATAAATGTTATTTCTCTCCCTGATTCCCTTGTGGTGTCCATGGCCCTACCTCTCTGCGTTCTGCTTCCTTCACTATAGACCTATGCCAGGTTTACTGGTGCTCCACTCAAGGTACACAAGATCACCAACCCCTGGCGGAGCCCTTCAGGTACCCAGCAACCCTGGAGGGTGAGGAAGGGTGTATACAAAGGGAGGAGCAGAAGAGAGGCAGGGATGTGTTACAAATCTGTGTGGAAGGTAGCTAAAGGTCTGGTGGGTGTACTTCTCTCTCAATGTCAGGAACTCTGCCTGCTCTTCGGACCAGTCACGGAGAGGTCATCTCAGTACCACACAAGATCATCACCCACCTTCGAAAAGAGGTAGGTGACTTGATTGAGGGGCTGCCAGTGAGAGAAGTTCAGTCAATTCAGTACAACACACATTTATTGAGCACCACACATAGGCCATGCTAGACACAGTCTGATGGGGGAGACACATACAATGTCACCGTGGTGCAGTAAAGCAGTAGGCCAGAGATTAAGTACCTTCTGCCTGTCAGGCCAGGAGGGAGAGGAGCATAGGTTAATGACACATGAAAGGGAAAGAAGGGTGGAAGACAGGGTTGGCTCTGATGAACACTTCAGTGGTGGGACTGGAGAGACTTCTGAGGGTCATTTCCCTGGTTTCAGGAACTAGGCTGGGCTGGATATGGGGCTCAGGATGGTCAAGGCTTAGAGCCAGGTTGGGGAAGTTGAAAGCATGTTACAAGAGGAGTGGGCAGCCTACATTGTGCTCTTTACTCTGCCATTGGTTGTGTGACCTCCGGCAAGCTACTTTACCCCTCATAGCTGTGCAATCCTTATTTGTAAAACTAGGGAGCTTAGCTGGCATGTTTTCCAAGGGTTCTGGATTCACGATCTGATTCCAAGAGGGACACGTCAGAAGTGGGACTGTCCTCCTCATTTCTACTTTCCCAAAAGTTAAGGAGCTGGGGAATTAATGGAAGTTTGAGAGGCCAGCGGAGTAGGGATCCAGATTAAAGCCAAAGTTCCTGGCGGGACCTGGACTACTGCCCTGATTCCTTATGTATGAACAGAGCTTTTCCAGTTTCTAGTGTTCTCCTAAATTATTCCCTAACACAACCACATTGTGAGAAAGAGGTTTTTTACCCTCATTCTTCAAGGGAGAAACTGAGAGAGATTTAAGGGTCATGCTCATGAGGTTATTCAGGGACAAAGCTTACTCAGGATGCTGAGGAGCAGAGGCTGGAGCCTGGGAAGGTAGGACAGGCTGAGACATGGGGGTATGGGTGGAATGTGTATGTGGTGGGGGCACCTAGGCCGTGGAATGAAGTGGGAGAAATAGCCAAGAGCTGGGCATTGAGGAGACAAGCTGGGAGGCCCTGTGCATGGGTTCTGTGGGTCTAGGGAGTGTGAAGATGGCATCCCCCTAGTTCCTGAGGCATGGACTGAGGCCCAACCTGCATCTGAGCTCCGCTCTGCTTGCTTTGTGGTGTCTGGATTGGGGAAATTACTGTTAGAAAGTTGCCGTCAGCAGGCGTGCTTCCAGCTTTCCGTGGAAATTCTGGGAGCTGCTCCTAGTTTGTGGCCAGGCCTTCCTTCCTCCCCCCAATGGGCACAGGACCTTGACGGCCAGCGGGCTCCAAGGCCCAGGCTTTTTGCCAATAGCAACAGGCTACTGGCTGGGCCCAGGCAAGGGGCCCTTGGCGGGAAAAGCTCCTTGCCCTGCCTCCACTGCACTCAGAGGCCAGTGAGGGGGTACCCAACAGGATCCCTCTCTCCCTGGCGAAGTGCCCCTGCAGTCCCCAGTGTCTCATGGATATTTCTCCACAGAAGTACAATGCCGATTATGATCTGTCAGCCCGGCAAGGGGCAGACACCCTGGCCTTCATGTCTCTACTGGAGGAGAAGCTGCTCCCAGTGCTGGTGAGTGTGCCCAGCCTCCCAGCATTCATAGCCAGCAGAGGAAGGGGTCAGACATGCACACACTCACACACAGGCTCAGAGCTCTGTGGGGGCTGGAAGCCCACCCTGAATCAGGCAAGTACACTAGCTCAGACCTGCTTCTTCCTTCCTGCCCACCCAATCCAGATACATACTTTTTGGATAGACACCAAGAACTATGTGGAAGTGACCCGGAAGTGGTATGCAGAGGCTATGCCCTTTCCCCTCAACTTCTTCCTGCCCGGCCGCATGCAGCGGCGGTACATGGAACGCCTGCAGCTGCTGTGTGGGGAGCACAGGCCTGAGGATGAGGAAGAGCTGGAGAAGGAGGTAGCTCCGGGACAGGGCGCTGTTGTATGAGATGAGCCCAAGGACGATGGCCAGCAGTGGGAGGGGAGGTGGCACTGTTCCCGCAGCCGCGAGCCTACCTGTGTCCTCCCTCTAGCTGTACCGAGAGGCTCGGGAGTGCCTGACCCTTCTGTCTCAGCGCCTGGGCTCTCAGAAGTTCTTCTTTGGCGATGCGTGAGTCTGACTGCAGGGGGGAAGTGGGTGGCTTGGAAGAAGATACACACTCAGATGTAGCTGCTGGGGCTGTGTGGGCTCAGGCTCTGGACAAGAGGTCCTGAGACACACCAGCTCTGATGATAGTGGGGCTGTGTGTGGGGCCAGAGCCTGCTCGGCGGTACAGGAGGGTAGGGTGGAGGGCAGCCAGGCACAGAAGGGTACTCAATGTGCCCTTTATGCAGCCTTGGGATAGAGCCCCATTCAGGGCCAGGCCGGCGCCACCTGGGAAACTCTCCCATACCAGGTCCAGAACTGTGTGTCCCTCCCTGGTGGCCCCTGCCACCCAGAGCCCACCTTCCAGGACTGGCTCTTCCCCCTGCTCCATCTTACCCTTTCTCCCCATTTATCCTTCATCTATCCCATCCTCCTCTCTCTGCTCCAGCCCTGCCTCCCTGGATGCCTTTGTCTTCAGCTACTTGGCCCTGATGCTACAGGCAAAGCTGCCCAGCGGGAAGCTGCAGGCCCACCTGCGGGGGCTACACAACCTCTGTGCCTACTGCACCCACATCCTCAGCCTCTACTTCCCCTGGGATGGAGGTAAGGGGCAGACGGGTGGGGACAGCCCTGGGAAAAAGGGGTCGGGATCCAGGAACTAGGCCCCTTGCTCCTTCCTTCCTTGACCCTCAGCCGAGGTGCCACCCTTGCGCCAGACATCAGCAGGCCCAGAGACTGAGGAGGAGCCATACGGGCGCCGGAATCAGATCCTATCAGTGCTGGCAGGGCTAGTAGCCATGGTGGGCTATGCCTTGCTCAGTGGCATCGTCTCTATCCAGCGGACAACGCCCACCCGGGCCCCAGGCACCCGGGCCCTGGGCATGGCTGAGGAGGACGAAGAGGAATGATTTGTCCTCATGCTCCTAGGACTGGTTTTCTACTCTCGTGCATTCCAGAGGCCCCTGTGACTCCGCATTGTTGGTATAGCCAGAAATGGGGTGCTATCCTCCAGAATAAAGCTGCTTACATTGACTGGGATCAAACACTCTCCTTTAAAGGGCTGCCATTTTTCTTTGGCTGGTACCATGGGAGCCATCTGCTCGAGCCTACCCATGGGCTTGGCTTCTTTTGCTGCATCTGCCCTAGGGCTGACACTGCTTCTGCGCTGGCCCTGTTCTGCATCTCCAGGAAAGACAAATAGTCTCAGTTCTAGGTCCAGCTTTCCTAGTCTCTTTCTTTCCTTACTCCCCCTTACCCCCCATCTTGTATTTGTACAGACAGTGAGCTCACCCTGGGCCCGGGCCCAGTTTCCACAGGCAGCCAGCACATAGCACACATTCACACAAGCATGGGGGGTGGGGGACACCAAGGCTTTTTGATCTTTCCCTAGGGGCCTCTAGCCTCTGGCACCAACTAAAGGGGAGAGTGAGTCACCCAAACCACTGCTCCCAGGCTTACGTCACTGTAAGCTTGTCCTGGCCCTACTGTGCCCTCTTTAGCCACAGACAGCATGTGAGCTGACTCTGTCCCTTTAATGTGCATGCTGAGCCCAGGTGCCTCCTTGGACATCTGCTCCATCACTGGCGACGCCACAGGTAGGTGTGAATAGAGTAGCCAGGTGAGATAGTCTCCAGGAAGCCCACAGCAGGATCCTTGATGGTAAGAGGCACATCCTTGGAGGAGCTGGGGAGAGGGCAGGAAAAGCTGAGAGTGTGATCCCACCAAGATCTGCCCCCCTGTCTGCAGCCCGGTTCCCAGACCCCACTGTTGCCCTCACCGATTTAGCACGACCACCACTGCAGAGCCATCGGGATGCATCAGCGCCACTGTCTCCAGGCTGTTTTTCTCACTGGCCACCAGCCCCACTCTCTGGGAGCCCTCAGGAATGAACTTGCTAAATGTAGGAATAGGTATTGTCAGGAACTCTGGCCCCCAGGGACCCTCCCATCAAACCTTCATCTAAAAAGTCATCTGGGCTGGGCGCAATGGTTCATGCCTATAATCCCAGCACTTTGGGAGGCCGAGGTGAGAGGATTACCTGAGCCCAGCAGTTCGACAGCAGCCTGAACAACATGGCGAGACCTCTTTACAATAAATAAAATGCAAAATTAGCTGGACATGGTAGCACATGACTGTAATCCCAGCTACTTAGAAGGCTGAGGCAGAAGGACCACCTGAGCCCAGCAAGGCTGTTGTGGCCGTGATTGTGCCACTACACTCCAGCCTGGGGGACAGAGTGAGGTTCCAACTTACCAAAAAAAAAGTCATCTAGTCTGGGCCCAGTGGTTCACACCTGTAATCCTAGCACTTTGGGAAGGAGAGGCAAGAGAATTGCCTGAGCCCAGGGGTTTGAGATCAGCCTGGACAACATAGTGAGACCTTATCTCTACAGTAAATCAGAAAATTAGCTGGGTGTTGTGGTGTGCGCCTGTAGTTCCAGCTACTTGGAAAGTTGAGGCAGAAAGATTACCTGAGTCCAGCGGGTAGAGGCTGTGGTGGCTGTGAGCTTGCCACTGTACTCCAGCCTGGGCAACAGTGAGATTCAGACTCGAAATAAATAATAAAAAGTCATCTACCATCCGCTCCATGATTCCCGCCAAAGCTCTGCCTGCACTCTAGGCCTCAAGCCAGGCTGCCAGACACTGATCCCACCTGTATTGCAGCCCCAGCACCAGGCATTCAGGGGTTGTCTATGTCTGTCACCTAGGCATTTCCTGCCTCCATGGTGCAAGAGGGGAAGGGTGTGCCTCTCCCAAGGTTCCCACCCTAAACACCTTCCTGCTCCCTCCTGGTACAGGGTGTTGTAAGCCTGATGCAGATAATAGGCCTGTATGGAATGGTACCCGCCCTCCTCACCTGAAGTGGCCAAGGTGATAGAACATGGGTTGTTTGTAGAATGTGTCCTTGGTGATATCTACAATGATAGGGCTGTCCACAAAGTTGCGCACCCAGTTGGGTCCTCCTTCAGGGTTCAGGGCAAGGTTCCAGTCGGTCCAGCCGGTTACATGGTACAGAAGGTTCTAGGGTAGGGATGAGGGAAAGTGACAACACTGGAGTTCCCCAGAGGGTGTAGGTAAGGGTCACTGGGGAGAGGGGGCTATGGGTAGGTCAGCGCTCTGAGAGGGGCAATTCTCTCTCCTTAGTGTCTCAGGAGAGGTGGACTGTGAAGATGGAGGTATCTCAAGGGAAACTGAGAAGCTGGAGGCAGGTCCAACTGCCTGAGACCCCAGCATTTGGGAAAGAGTGGGGCATGCAGACCTGTGACGGGAAGGCAAGATAGAGAATCCGTTTCCCAAAACTGGCCCAGAAGGCAGGCAGGCTGAGGAAGAGTTAGAAAGCTGTTTGTCAGCCATTGGTGAGATCAGAAAGAGGCCTGTGGTGGTCCGCTTTGCAGGAAGAGACACAGGTGGCTCACCGTGATGATGCTGTGACTGTACTGCATCCCTCGGTCCCAGGAGCCCAGCCGCACGCTCTGCTCCCAGAACTTGGAGCCCACACAGGCCTCCGAGGCAAAGAGCGTGGTGTTGGGGAACAGGCGGTGTGTCTTCCCCAGGGTAGCGTCTGCTGGAGCCAGAAAGTCCAGGTACCAGTGGATAGCGATGCCATGGACATACTTAGCTGCCTCTGGGTCTGATAACACCTGCAAAGGAAAGGGAGGAGAGCCAGTGGCCCTGAGTCCTGCACAGAGTGCTCTGGAAGAGAAGCAGGAGTCCTGAGAAATGGGTGGTGGGAAGAAGGCAACTAGAGAGGGCTCAAGACACAACCATGAGACCCCGGAGGCCCAGAGGGGCAGGGAAGACACTCAGTTTGGGAACTGCTTCATTTGGATGCTGGGTTTAGAGGTCACTGGGGCACTGGGGGTCTCGGGCCTTACCACCTGTGCCCAGTGGGGCAGCAGCAAGCGCTGGTCATCCAACATGAGCAGGAGGACGTCCCGGTGAGTACTGTTGGCGAGGGTAGGACCCAGGTCTCGGGCAATGAAGTCTCGCTGATGTTCAGGGGTGAAGCCCAGGCACTGGAAGGGGTACCCAGTAATCAGCCCTGCGGAAGGCTCATTTTCGGCTGTCACTGCCCAGAACCGTAACTTGTACTCCGCGTAAGCATCCAGGAACCTGGCGGGAGAAAGGCCATGAGTGAAAAGGCCAAGAAAGTGGACCAAGACCTTAGGAAATGGAGTGGGACTGACGGGCCCATTTCTGATGGCCCTGGAGGTAGAAAGGTGAGCTGAGAAGGGACAGATCTGGAGGTGGGACCAGGTCGAGAGTTGGGATGCAGACCAGAATGTCCAAAGGGGAGGTTGGTCCAGACCCCACAGCCTTGCCGATCCCTTACTTGACAAAGTATTTGGCCCAGGCCTGGTGGTAGTCATCCCCCGGCTGACCCTTGAGTGACCCCTTCCCATTCACTGCTCCATTGGTCTTGAGCCAAGTGGGTGACGTCCAGGGGCTGGCAAAGAGAGAGACAGGGCGCGAGGACAACTGCAGGGCTCGGTGAATCAGGGGTATCTAGGGACAAAGGTGAAGAGAGACACCCAGAGTTGGAACACACATGGACTAGCCCAACCAGTGCATCAGGTTCAGCCTTCAGCCCCCACCCTCAGGACAAAGCAGGGCAGGTGACAGGTCCTGTGTCTCTCTGCAGACTGCTCTAGCCAGAAGCTTCTCAAACCCCAGGCACCAATGCCTTTGGGACCTGAGACAGCCAGAATGCCCACCTTGAGCTTGGTGTCTTCCTCTGGGAGGCTAAAGTTAAGCATCTGGAAGTCATTAGGGGTATCAGCATAGGTGTAGATGCGGATAGAGAAGTCGCAGCTGGCCATGGGTACCCGGATGATGTTATACTCGATTCCTACAGAAAAGCAAGACCATGGTATGGGACTTAGCTTATCACTGACCAGTCCTCAACAGTGTCTGAATCAGGACCAAGGCAAGTTGGACTCTGGAGTTGGGGCCTGTGAAGGCCAGCACTTGGGTAAAGCCCAGGCCTTTCTGAGCCTAAGAGTCCCCAAGCACTTAGCAGATGATTGATAGGGCCATCTGTTTCATTGAGCACTAAGAGAGTAAGCAAATGTCAGGTATGTATGGATGTCAGAGTCAGAGAACAGGTCAAAGAAAAGTGTCAGTTGTGTCATCTTGTCCCTCTCCTCCTCACCTTCTTCAGAGAAATATGACTTAAGTAGCAAATCCTGGGCAGGGGGTGACAGGGCAAGGATGTTAAGAGCAGCAGCATCTGTCATGGCCCCTCCAAATCCCTTCACTTTCTGGAACTTCTGCTCTGGTTGCAGGGTCAGTAGCAGCCCTGCAGATATCCACAGGATAAAGAGTGTCAGCGCATAGGGAGAAACTCCATGGTAATCACTGGCATGGTTCATCAGGGGTAAGGGGTGTAGCGGTTACCTGTGCCCGTACGATTGGCCTGGATGGCCCCTGTACTCAGCTCCATCCGACGTCCACTGCGTGTACTCTCATAGCGGCTGAAGGTGCCAAGGGCAGGAAAGGTCAGGGGGTCAAGAGAGTCACAGTATGTGGCATTGCAGACACAGACCACTGAGCTGTAGCCAAAGCTTTTGGGGATGCAGGGCCGGGCACCTGGGAGGGAGTACAAGCAGAGGCAAGGGCTGAATGACAACGCAGAGAACCGACACCCTGGTTAGAACACACAGAACAGGTCTCAAAAATCCTCCCACTGTATCCCAACCCCAAGGTGGGTCTCAATCACTCCAGAGGGTTTTTTGAGCACCTGCTAAGAGTCTACCGCAGTTCACCAGAAGACTACCAAAGGAGTACAAGGCAGAAGGGAGCCTCAGTGCTACCTCCCGGCTCCTTGACTCACTCACCTGATGCCCACGGCACTGCCTGAAGTAGAAGCAATCCTGTGAGGCTGGCAGCCATGATGCTTACCCTCCTCAGCTGTTTGCAGCATTCCTGAGAACAGAATGAGGAGTAGCTGGAAGATGAGCCCCTCTCCACCCCCAGCTACTCTCCTGGACAGGGTGTGGCTTCCCGTGGGTGCCCATGGCCTAGTTTCCCACCTTCGTTAGGGATGGGACAAGGCCCAGAGGCACCTGTGTGCAGACTTCCCTACAACCCTTCTGCTGGTGACAGCTTTCTGCCTACACTAAATCAGGACTTTCCTTACTCTTCCGTCCCTCCATCTGTACCTTGGTCAAAGAGCCATGATGGCCTGGGATCAAAGAGAGGCTGTCATTTATTGAATTCCAGAACCTGGATAACCAGAACTTGAGAAGCAAAGTGACAAGGCCAGTTGGGATCCCCGGCTCACTTACCTCTCTGGAAGGACTTGAAAACTCCATCACCTCAGCGTCACCGGAGGAGGAGAAAACTGCGAGGGTTCCAGAGTGCCTGAAGGAGAAAGGATCCTCTAAATAATAACAACGATGCAGGCGCCCGCTGTAGCTATAGGTACCCAGTCAGCCCTGCAGGTTAATTCCGGCTTCATGTAGTGGATGGGTCATGTGATAATGATGGGAGTGTCACATGACACAGGAAGTGAGGCAATTGCAGCCATATTTCTAAAGGGCAGTTGACTTCCCCTGAGCTATTGGAGATTAGATACCCTATGAAATTCTGGGAGGAACATGTGGATGACAATTCTAGGGAGCACCTAGAACAAAGATTCGAGTGGAGAATTGGGCAGAAGCTCCTAAATCCCGGAGGATGGGAACCACAACAGGTGTATTGCTTTTTAGAGAAAAATTTCAAAGAGATACTCAAAAAGGTGATATAAATAAAAAGAGAAGAGATTCACTGTGGACTGATTTTGAACTATAGAAGCCCGGGACACATTGGGGGGCAGACATACCAATATTTACACGTAAAGACAGAAATGGTAGCCAGGCTCGGTGGCTCAGCCTGTAATACCGCACTTTGGGAGGCTGAGGTGAGTGGATT